TGGAATTCTGGCGACTCCGACTACCCTGTGTTCATCCCGCACCTCAGACCATTCCCTCTGCAAATTTGGGAAAGGAGCCCCAACTGTTCACAGTTGGGGGCCACACCGTTGGGCTTTCAACTTTAAACACAGACATTCTTATACAATAGATATATATATAATATCAACCCATCCTGACAGTTGGGTGGACAGCGCTTCGGATTCGTAGTCCCAAGGTTCCGGGTTCGATCCCCGGTGGAGGCGGAGACAAATGGGCAAAATGTTTTTCACCCTGATGCCCCTGTTACCTAGCAGTAAATAGGTACCTGGGAGTTAGTCAGCTGCTACGGGCTGCTGCTTCATGGGGGTGTGTAACAAAAAGGAGGCCTGGTCGAGGACCGGGCCGCGGGGACGCTAAGCCCGGAAATCATCACAAGATAAGATATCCTCCTGTAAGGATAGTACTTACAGTAACTATTTCATCAAAGGTACCAATATGTTGTTCTGGACCATCTACAGTTAACTTTCTCTCTTAATTTAATTGAGTGCGGAAAATAAAGCTAAAAGCTGAGCTTAAACTTTCCTAGGCCTTGTAGAGCATATATAAATATGTGTGTACTTTATTAGGCTAAAGATATAACGTATTAAGCCTAGGAGTGCTAGGAGAGGTTAGGTTAGGTTAAATCTTAGATTTGTCTTGCGGGGCTAGGGGCTGGGGAAGCTTCCTGTACCGTTGGGGCTGGGGAAGCTTCCTGTACCGTTGGGGCTGGGGAAGCCTCCTGTACCGTTGGGGCTGGGGAAGCCTCCTGTACCGTTGGGGCTGGGGAAGCCTCCTGTACCGTTGGGGCTGGGGAAGCCTCCTGTACCGTTGGGGCTGGGGAAGCCTCCTGTACCGTTGGGGCTGGGGAAGCCTCTGTACCGTTGGGGCTGGGGAAGCCTCCTGTACCGTTGGGGCTGGGGAAGCTTCCTGTACCGTTGGGGCTGGGGAAGCTTCCTGTACCGTTGGGGTTGGGGGGAAGCCTCCTGTACCGTGGGGCTGGGGAAGCCTCCTGTACCGTTGGGGCTGGGGAAGCCTCCTGTACCGTTGGGGCTGGGGAAGCCTCCTGTACCGTGGGGCTGGGGAAGCCTCCTGTACCGTTGGGGCTGGGGAAGCCTCCTGTACCGTTGGGGCTGGGGAAGCCTCCTGTACCGTTGGGGCTGGGGAAGCCTCCTGTACCGTTGGGGGCTGGGGAAGCCTCCTGTACCGTTGGGGCTGGGGAAGCCTCCTGTACCGTTGGGGCTGGGGAAGCCTCCTGTACCGTTGGGGCTGGGGAAGCCTCCTGTACCGTTGGGGCTGGGGAAGCTTCCTGTACCGTTGGGGCTGGGGAAGCTTCCTGTACCGTTGGGGCTGGAGAAGCCTCCTGTACCGTTGGGGCTGGGGAAGCCTCCTGTACCGTTGGGGCTGGGGAAGCTTCCTGTACCGTTGGGGCTGGAGACGCCACCCGTACCGTTGGGGCTGGGGGACGCCGCCTGTACCGTTGGGGCTGAGGGACGCCACCTGTACCGTTGGGGCTGGGGACGCCTCCTGTACCGTTGGGGCTGGGGACGCCTCCTGTACCGTTGGGGCTGGGGACGCCTCCTGTACCGTTGGGGCTGGGGACGCCTCCTGTACCGTTGGGGCTGGAGACGCCACCCGTACCGTTGGGGCTGGAGACGCCTCCTGTACCGTTGGGGCTGGGGACGCCTCCTGTACCGTTGGGGCTGGGGACGACGCCTGTACCGTTGGGGCTGGGGGACGCCTCCTGTACCGTTGGGGCTGGGGGACGCCTCCTGTACCGTTGGGGCTAGGGACGCCTCCTGTACCGTTGGGGCTGGGGACGCCTCCTGTACCGTTGGGGTTGGGGACGACGCCTGTACCGTTGGGGCTGGGGACGCCTCCTGTACCGTTGGGGCTGGGGAAGCCCCCTGTACCGTTGGGGCTGGGGGACGCCGCCTGTACCGTTGGGTCTGGGGGACGCCGCCTGTACCGTTGGGTCTGGGGAAAGCCTCCTGTACCGTCGGGGCTTGGGACGCCTCCTGTACCGTTGGGGCTGGGGACGCCTCCTGTACCGTTGGGGTTGGGGACGACGCCTGTACCGTTGGGGCTGGGGGAAGCCTCCTTTACCTTTGGGGCTGGGGACGCCTCCTGTACCGTTGGGGCTGGGGACGCCTCCTGTACCGTTGGGACTGGGGGAAGCCCCCTGTACCGTTGGGGCTGGGGGACGCCGCCTGTACCGTTGGGGCTGGGGGACGCCTCCTGTACCGTTGGGGCTGGGAAGCCTCCTGTACCGTTGGGGCTGGGAAGTCTCCTGTACCGTTGGGACTGGGGGAAACCCCTGTACCGTTGGGGCTGGGGGACGCCGCCTGTACCGTTGGGACTGGGGGAAGCCCCCTGTACCGTTGGGACTGGGGGAAGCCCCCTGTACCGTTGGGACTGGGGGAAGCCCCTGTACCGTTGGGACTGGGGGAAGCCCCTGTACCGTTGGGACTGGGGGAAGCCCCCTGTACCGTTGGGACTGGGGGAAGCCCCCTGTACCGTTGGGACTGGGGGAAGCCCCCTGTACCGTTGGGACTGGGGGAAGCCTCCTGTACCGTTGGAACTGGGTGAAGCCCCCTGTACCGTTGGGGCTGGGGGACGCCGCCTGTACCGTTGGGGCTGGGAAGCCTCCTGTACCGTTGGGGCTGGGGAAGCCTCCTGTACCGTTGGGGCTGGGGAAGCCTCCTGTACCGTTGGGGCTGGGGAAGCCTCCTGTACCGTTGGGGTTGGGGGACGCCTCCTGTACCGTTGGGGCTAGGGACGCCTCCTGTACCGTTGGGGCTGGGGACGCCTCCTGTACCGTTGGGGTTGGGGACGACGCCTGTACCGTTGGGGCTGGGACGCCTCCTGTACCGTTGGGGCTGGGGAAGCCCCCTGTACCGTTGGGGCTGGGGGACGCCGCCTGTACCGTTGGGTCTGGGGGACGCCGCCTGTACCGTTGGGTCTGGGGAAAGCCTCCTGTACCGTCGGGGCTTGGGACGCCTCCTGTACCGTTGGGGCTGGGGACGCCTCCTGTACCGTTGGGGTTGGGGACGACGCCTGTACCGTTGGGGCTGGGGGAAGCCTCCTTTACCTTTGGGGCTGGGGACGCCTCCTGTACCGTTGGGGCTGGGGACGCCTCCTGTACCGTTGGGACTGGGGGAAGCCCCCTGTACCGTTGGGGCTGGGGGACGCCGCCTGTACCGTTGGGGCTGGGGGACGCCTCCTGTACCGTTGGGGCTGGGGAAGCCTCCTGTACCGTTGGGGCTGGGAAGTCTCCTGTACCGTTGGGACTGGGGGAAACCCCCTGTACCGTTGGGGCTGGGGGACGCCGCCTGTACCGTTGGGACTGGGGGAAGCCCCCTGTACCGTTGGGACTGGGGGAAGCCCCCTGTACCGTTGGGACTGGGGGAAGCCCCCTGTACCGTTGGGACTGGGGGAAGCCCCCTGTACCGTTGGGACTGGGGGAAGCCCCCTGTACCGTTGGGACTGGGGGAAGCCCCCTGTACCGTTGGGACTGGGGGAAGCCCCCTGTACCGTTGGGACTGGGGGAAGCCTCCTGTACCGTTGGAACTGGGTGAAGCCCCCTGTACCGTTGGGGCTGGGGGACGCCGCCTGTACCGTTGGGGCTGGGAAGCCTCCTGTACCGTTGGGGCTGGGGAAGCCTCCTGTACCGTTGGGGCTGGGGAAGCCTCCTGTACCGTTGGGGCTGGGGAAGCCTCCTGTACCGTTGGGGTTGGGGGACGCCTCCTGTACCGTTGGGGCTGGGGACGCCTCCTGTACCGTTGGGGCTGGGGACGCCTCCTGTACCGTTGGGGCTGGGGACGCCTCCTGTACCGTTGGGGCTGGGGAAGTTTCCTGTACCGTTGGGGCTGGAGACGACGTCTGTTCCGTTGGGGTTGGGGACGCCGCCTGTACCTTTGGGGCTGGGGACGCAGCCTGTACCGTTGGGGCTGGGACGCAGCCTGTACCGTTGGGGCTGGGGGACGCAGCCTGTACCGTTGGGGCTGGGACGCAGCCTGTACCGTTGGGGCTGGGGACGCAGCCTGTACTGTTGGGGCTGGGACGCAGCCTGTACCGTTGGGGCTAGGGACGCAGCCTGTACCGTTGGGGCTGGGGACGCAGCCTGTACCGTTGGGGCTGGGGACGCAGCCTGTACCGATGGGGCTGGGGACGCAGCCTGTACCGTTGGGGCTGGGGACGCAGCCTGTACCGTTGGGGCTGGGGACGCAGCCTGTACCGTTGGGGCTGGGGACGCCTCCTGTACCGTTGGGGCTGGGGGACGCCGCCTGTACCGTTGGGGCTGGGGACGCCGCCTGTACCGTTGGGGCTGGGGGACGCCTCCTGTACCGTTGGGGCTGGGGACGCCGCCTGTACCGTTGGGGCTGGGGGACGCATCATGTACCGTTGGGGCTGGGGGACGCCTCCTGTACCGTTGGGGCTGGGGACGCCGCCTGTACGTTGGGGCTGGGGGACGCCTCCTGTACCGTTGGGGCTGGGGGACGCCTCCTGTACCGTTGGGGCTGGGGGGACGCCTCCTGTACCGTTGGGGCTGGGGGACGCCTCCTGTACCGTTGGGGCTGGGGACGCCTCCTGTACCGTTGGGGCTGGGGGACGCCTCCTGTACCGTTGGGGCTGGGGACGCCGCCTGTACCGTTGGGGCTGGGGACGCCGCCTGTACCGTTGGGGCTGGGGAACGCCGCCTGTACCGTTGGGGCTGGGGGACGCCGCCTGTACCGTTGGGGTTGGGGGACGCCGCTTGTACCGTTGGGGCTGGGGACGCCGCCTGTACCGTTGGGGCTGGGGGACGCCTCCTGTACCGTTGGGGCTGGGGGACGCCTTCTGTACCGTTGGGGCTGGGGGACGCCTCCTGTACCGTTGGGGCTGGGGGACGACGCCTGTACCGTTGGGGCTGGGGGACGCCGCCTGTACCGTTGGGGCTGGGGACGCCTCCTGTACCGTTGGGGCTGGGGACGCCGCCTGTACCTTGGGGCTGGGGAACGCCGCCAGTACCGTTGGGGCTGGGGGACGCCGCCTGTACCGTTGGGGTTGGGGGACGCCGCCTGTACCGTTGGGGCTGGGGACGCCTCCTGTACCGTTGGGGCTGGGGACGCCGCCTGTACCGTTGGGGTTGGGGGACGCCACTTGTACCGTTGGGGCTGGGGACGCCTCCTGTACCGTTGGGGCTGGGGACGCCGCCTGTACCCTCATCGTCCACCTCACAACGCCTTAACCAGCCACAATTCCCCTCGCCTTCTTCCCGGCACCAGCTTTCCCCTCATTCTTCTCTTTTTACTCCCCCTCCGCCCTTTCTCCTGTTTCCCCCTATTTCATACGTCCCTCCTCACCTCCGTCCCCCGTCTTCCCCCCCCTCTTTCCCCCCCTCTTTCCCCTCTGTCCCCCCTCTTTCCCCTCTGTGTCCCCTCCCGCTCTCTTTCTCCGCCCTGCGAACTGGCAACACCACCGAGCGGGTCTGGAAGAAAATAATGAGATGTATTGAGCAGGGTGACGTGTGTGTGTGTGTGTGTGTGTGTGTGTGTGTGTGTGTGTGTGTGTACTCACCTAGTTGTACTCACCTAGTTGTACTCACCTAGTTGTGTTTGCGGGGGTTGAGCTCTGGCTCTTTGGTCCCGCCTCTCAACCGTCAATCAACAGGTGTACAGATTCATGAGCCTATCGGGCTCTGTCATATCTACACTTGAAACTGTGTATGGAGTCAGCCTCCACCACATCACTTCCTAATGCATTCCATTTGTCAACCACTCTGACACTAAAAAAGTTCTTTCTAATATCTCTGTGGCTCATTTGGGCACTCAGTTTCCACCTGTGTCCCCTTGTGCGTGTTTCCCTTGTGTTAAATAGACTGTCTTTATCTACCCTATCAATCCCCTTCAGAATCTTGAATGTGGTGATCATGTCCCCCCTAACTCTTCTGTCTTCCAGCGAAGTGAGGTTTAATTCCCGTAGTCTCTCCTCGTAGCTCATACCTCTCAGCTCGGGTACTAGTCTGGTGGCAAACCTTTGAACCTTTTCCAGTTTAGTCTTATCCTTGACTAGATATGGTCAATGTGTGTGTGTGTGTGTGTGTGTGTGTGTGTGTGTGTGTGTGTGTGTACTCACCTAGTTGAGCTTGCAGGGTCGAGCATCTGTTCTTAAGCCCCGACTTTCCACCATCATTAATTCAATGCATTGACTCTCTCTCACTCATTTTTTTTACCATATTTATATTAAAAGTTGTATGTGGATATGGCTTGGACAACCTCTTCGTCTAGTTTGTTAGCTACGGTCTCGCTTCATGCAGGTCAGCGTTCAATCCCCGACCGTCCAAGTGGTTGGGCACCATTCCTTCCCCCGTCCCATCCCAAATCCTTATCCTGAGCCCTTCTCAGTGTTATTTAGTCGTAATGGCTTGGTGATTTCCTCTAATAATTCCCTTTCCTTCCGTGTTCCACTTATGACTAAGACTGAAAATGTTCTTTCTGACATGTCTGTGGCTCATTTGCGTTTCCAATTTCCAATTATGTTCTTTCGCTCTACTGTTCATTAATTTAAATTTGGTTTCCATATCTATTTTGTCAATCCCCCGTTAGTATCTTGTACGTCGTTATCATGTCCGCCCTATTCTTCTTTCCTCCAGTGTAGTGAGGTTCAGTTCCCTCAGTTTTCATAGCTCAGTTCCCTTAACTCAGGAACGAGCCTTGTTGTATTACTTTTAACTTTTTTTAGTTTTGTTTAGTGTCTTCAGGTAAGGGTTCCATGCCGGGGCAGCATGCTCAATAACAGCTCTCACATGGGATGTGTACAGCTCTCACAAGGGTTCTTTGTCCAATCTGCTGAAGGCTAACTGGACGTGTGCCAGTATGGCATATGCTGCCCTCGTTATCCTGCTGATGTGTGCCTCTGGTGATAGCTCTTTCCTTGTGTCCACTACTAAGTCTTTCTCTCTCTCAGAAGTTGGAAGTTGCCTTCCCTTCATCTTGGACGGTATATGAGGTCTCCTTGCTCCATCTCTTCATAACCTTGCATGTGTCAGGGTTAAAGTCTATTAGCCATTTCTCACATTTCTTATCTCTGAAGATTGTTTAAGTCATCCTGTAATGGTGTACAGTCCTCCTTAGTTCTGATTCGTCTCATTAGTTTAGCATCGCCAGTAAACATGGATAAGTTGACCAAACCACACACTAGAAAGTGAAGGGACAACGACGTTTCGGTCTGTTCTGGACCATTCTCTAGTCGATTGTACATGTATAAGGATGAGCTGTACCTCGCTCCTTTACATACATTAGGAACAAGATGGGCCCTATTACCGAGCCTTGAGATACTCCACTCATTACTTCTCTACATTGTGATAGTTCTCATCATACTATGACTCTTTTGCCTTCTTCCTGGTAGGTACTCCTTCACCCACGTTAGTGCTCTTCCCGAGACACCAGCCTGGTGTTCCAGTTTGTATTGGAGTCGCTTGTGAGGAACAGTGTCAAAAGCATTCTGGCAGTCCAGGAAAATGCAGTCATCCCAGCCCTCTGTATCCTGTTTGATCGTTGTCATCTTGTCTTTGAACTCTTAATAAGTTAGTCAAGCAAGATTTTTCTTTGAGGCCATGTTGATGCGTAGAAAAAAAAGTGTTCTAAATGATTGACGAACTTCATCTTGAATAGTCTCTCTAATATCTTACAAGGAATACTTGTTAGTGATACCAGTCTGTAGTTCAGTGGCTCCTGTCTTCCTCATTTCTTATATATAGGTACCATATTTACCACTTTGGAGGAACCGGGAAGTTCCCCCATTTCCAGTGAGGAGTTGAAGACTATAATAAGGGGTCCACACAGTGCTGCAGCTCCCTCTTCTAGGACCCATGGTGAGATCTTGTCAGGACCTGTGGCTTTCATCACATCAAGCTCCTCCAGTGGGTTCTTGACGTCCTCTAGTGTTACTTCTATTTCAAATGTTTCTTCTAACACCTCCATTAGAGCTGTTGATCTGGGGGACAGTTCTGGTTCAATCTTAAAATCTTCCTAGAAGCTTTTATTGAGTTCTTTTACTGTTATGAATTCCAAGAGCTTCATGACCTAGATTATGTCTAGGGAGAGTTAACTCTCCCTAGACACTGTCGTCCCTGTGGGAACAATTGTTCCCCATCCAGACATGATGTTGGCTAAAACTGGATGTATAACACTGTCGTGTATACCAAGGTTGTATGAGAGAAGAAGTATGGTTGAGGCCTTTTGTGTGTCAAAATCAGGGCAATGTATTAGGTGGACAGAAAGATGGCGACAGCGTGGGACCTTCCAAGAAGGAAGGAGTTCGATGATGTCATTACTGACCAATGAGGGAGGAGCAAGGCCGTGACGTGTCACGGTCTGTGAAGACGTCAGTTGGGAGTGTGGGGTCGAAGAGGTCACACGCTGCTCTTCGCTACTTCAAGTTAAAGGTACAGTGTCTACGTGTCCTGGTGAAGGAAGTACCGATCTGTGGAGCCAGGAGTGACGTTCACAAGCCAAGGAGGAGTAGGAAGGTCCTCTGGTGTCCCCCGTGGTCACCCTACAAGAGGTTTTGCTCGTCGCAAGTGAGGACGGCGTCACGGGTGAAGCAAGGCTGGTGCCTGTGGCTCGCTCCCACATGCAAGTCAGGAACAGGAATTTCGACAGTGGCAGTCGAGAGAAGATTTGTAGACGACCTGGAGGGAGGTAAATCCCAGGCGCCATCTTGATTTGTGGAGGCCAGTGTCGTCGCACTACGAATCTTGCGGTAAGAACTTTTTGTTTGCCACAGTTTGCCATGTACAGTGAGGTGAAGTGCTCAGTGATTTATAATAATGCTTAGTGACCTTAGTGAATCATGTTTATTGTGAAGAAAAAGTAATATTGGGGGATTTGAGAGATGATAGCATGATGGAGGCAAGATGCTCACTCGTTGACGGTCGGTGAAGAACTGACTAGGTGAAGGGTGATCAGTGTGGCGTCGCCCGCTGCGGGGGAGTCCTCTTGGCAGTACGGGGACTGCCAGATTCACTAGCAGGTAGTGATATTTTTTTTTATTAATACATTAGGTACATCAACATTTGTGCAGCTGCCGTAGACTATATGAAGGGGAGTACAGTGTGTGTCACAAAGCTAGCTACGTGATGCTAAAAAATCTCCATCACACAGGATGGTTAGTCATACAGAGGCATGTGATAAGTAGTCTGCACTGGCAGACTCTGGGAGCATTATGAGGATATCTTCAAGAACACGAGAGTGGATAACGTAATTGCAAAGTTCCAGGTACCTCATGCCAACGGGTCTGAAAAGTCGAGGTTATCTTGAGATGAAATCGGGGCTTAGCGTCCCCGCGGCCCGGTCCTCGACCAGGCCTTCTTTTTGTAACACATCCCCAGGAAGCATCCCGTAGCAGCTGTCTAACTCCCAGGTACCTATTTACTGCTAAGTAAACAGGGGCATCAGGGTGAAAGAAATTCAGCCCATTTGTTTCCGCCTCCGCCAGAGATCGAACCCGGAACCTCAGGACTACGAATCACGAGCGCTGTCCACTCAGCCTGTCAGGCCCCTTGGTAGTGTCATTACTGACCTGTGGATAATAATTTCGTCACGCAGGAGATCCACCCTGAGTAAAGGAGGATTGATTAACAGTTGTGATCCACCTGTGTCGTCCGTGTGGTCACTGTGGTCCCTGTGGTCACTGTCGTCCCTGTGGTCCCTTGGTCACTCTGGTCACTGTCGTCCCTGTGGTCACTGTGGTCCCTGTGGTCACTGTCGTCCCTGTGGTCCCTTGGTCACTGTCGTCACTGTGGTCACTGTCGTCCCTGTGGTCCCTGTGGTCACTGTCGTCCCTGTGGTCCCTTGGTCACTGTCGTCACTGTGGTCACTGTGGTCCCTTGGTCACTGTCGTCACTGTCGTCACTGTGGTCCCTGTGGTCACTGTCGTCCCTGTGGTCCCTTGGTCACTGTCGTCCCTGTGGTCAGTGTGGTCCCTGTGGTCACTGTCGTCCCTGTGGTCACTGTCGTCCCTGTGGTCCCTTGGTCACTGTCGTCCCTGTGGTCCCTATGGTCACTGGCGTCCCTGTGGTCACTGTCGTCCCTGTGGTCACTGTCGTCCCTGTGGTCACTGTCGTCCCTGAAGTCACTGTCATCCCTGTGGTCACTGGCGTCCCTGTGGTCACTGTCGTCCCTGAAGTCACTGTCATCCCTGTGGTCACTGTCGTCCCTGTGGTCACTGTCGTCCCTGTGGTCACTGTCGTCCCTGGGGTCACTGTCGTCCCTGTGGTCACTGTCGTCCCTGTGGTCACTGTCGTCCCTGTGGTCACTGTCGTCCCTGGGGTCACTGTCGTCCCTGTGGTCACTGTCGTCCCTGGGGTCACTGTCGTCCCTGTGGTCACTGTCGTCCCTGTGGTCCCTTGGTCACTGTCGTCCCTGTGGTCACTGTCGTCCCTGGGGTCACTGTCGTCCCTGTGGTCACTGTGGTCACTGTCGTCCCTGTGGTCCCTTGGTCACTGTCGTCCCTGTGGTCACTGTCGTCCCTGTGGTCACTGTCGTCCCTGTGGTCACTGTCGTCCCTGGGGTCACTGTCGTCCCTGTGGTCACTGTCGTCCCTGGGGTCCCTGTGGTCACTGTGGTCACTGTCGTCCCTGTGGTCACTGTCGTCCCTGTGGTCACTGTCGTCCCTGTGGTCACTGTGGTCACTGTCGTCCCTGTGGTCACTGTCGTCCCTGTGGTCACTGTCGTCCCTGTGGTCACTGTCGTCCCTGTGGTCACTGTCGTCCCTGTGGTCACTGTCGTCATTGTCGTCCCTGTGGTCACAGTCGTCGCTGTGGTCACTGTCGTCGCTGTGGTCACTGTCGTCCCTGTAGTCACTGTCGTCCCTGTAGTCACTGTCGTCGCTGTGGTCACTGTCCTCCCTGTGGTCCCCTGTGGTCACTGTCGTCCCTGTGGTCACTGTCGTCCCTGTGGTCACTGTCGTCCCTGTGGTCACTGTCGTCCCTGTGGTCACTGTCGTCCCTGTGGTCACTGTCGTCCCTGTGGTCACTGTCGTCGCTGTGGTCACTGTCGTTGCTGTGGTCACTGCCGTCGCTGTGGTCACTGTCGTCGCTGTGGTCACTGTCGTCGCTGTCGTCACTGTCGTCGCTGTCGTCCCTGTGGTCACTGTCGTCGCTGTGGTCACTGTCGTCGCTGTGGTCACTGTCGTCGCTGTGGTCACTGTCGTCGCTGTGGTCACTGTCGTCGCTGTGGTCACTGTCCTCCCTGTGGTCCCCTGTGGTCACTGTCGTCCCTGTGGTCACTGTCGTCCCTGTGGTCACTGTCGTCCCTGTGGTCACTGTCGTCCCTGTGGTCACTGTCGTCCCTGTGGTCGCTGTCGTCCCTGTGGTCGCTGTCGTCCCTGTGGTCACTGTCGTCCCTGTGGTCACTGTGGTCACTGTCGTCCCTGTGGTCACTGTCGTCCCTGTGGTCACTGTCGTCCCTGTGGTCACTGTCGTCCCTGTGGTCACTGTCGTCCCTGTGGTCACTGTCGTCCCTGTGGTCACTGTCGTCCCTGTGGTCACTGTGGTCACTGTCGTCCCTGTGGTCACTGTCGTCCCTGTGGTCACTGTGGTCACTGTCGTCCCTGTGGTCACTGTGGTCACTGTGGTCACTGTCGTCCCTGTGGTCACTGTGGTCACTTTCGTCCCTGTGGTCACTGTGGTCACTGTCGTCCCTGTGGTCACTGTGGTCACTGTCGTCCCTGTGGTCACTGTCGTCCCTGTGGTCCCCTGTGGTCACTGTCGTCCCTGTGGTCACTGTCGTCCCTGTGGTCCCCTGTGGTCACTGTCCTCTTCTGTCTTCACTGTCTGTCTTCGGTCACTGTCTTCACTCCTTCCCTCGTTTCCTTCTTTATTTCCCCTCTACTCCCTCTTCCACCTCCCCTCACCCCTTCCCCTCTTTCCTTCCTTCAAGCTTCCTACCTCACACCTCCCCTCCCCCTCCCCCCCTGTGTATAATCTCCAACTCGGGTCGTATTGATTGGATATGGACAGTGCTGCCACTCTGTGGGTGTGTTCCTCCACCCTCATGCTCCTCCACCCTCATGCTCCTCCACCCTCATGCTCCTCCACCCTCATGCTCCTCCACCCTCATGCTCCTCCACCCTCATGCTCCTCCACCCTCATGCTCCTCCACCCTCATGCTCCTCCACCCCTCATGCTCCTCCACCCTCATGCTCCACCACCCCGCATGTTCCTCCACCCTTATGCTCCTCCACCCTCATGCTCCTCCACCCCTCACGTTTCTCCACCCCTCATGTTCCTCCACCCCCTCATGTTCCTCCACCCCCTCATGTTCCTCCACCCCTCATGCTCCTTCACCCCTCATGCTCCTCCACCCTCATGCTCCTCCACCCTCAAGCTCCTCCACCCTCATGCTCCTCCACCCTCATGCTCCTCCACCCCTCATGCTCCTCCACCCCCTCATGTTCCTCCACACCCTCATGCTCCTCCACCCCTCATGCTCCTTCACCCCACATGCTCCTTTACCCCTCATGCTCCTCCACCCTCATGCTCCTCCACCCTCATGCTCCTCCACCCTCATGCTCCTCCACCCTCATGTTCCTCCACCCTCATGCTCCTCCACCCTCATGCTCCTCCACCCTCATGCTCCTCCACCCCTCATGCTCCTCCACCCCCTCATGTTCCTCCACACCCTCATGCTCCTCCACCCCTCATGCTCCTTCACCCCACATGCTCCTTTACCCCTCATGCTCCTCCACCCTCATGCTCCTCCACCCTCATGCTCCTCCACCCTCATGCTCCTCCACCCTCATGTTCCTCCACCCTCATGCTCCTCCACCCTCATGCTCCTCCACCCCTCATGCTCCTCCACCCCTCACGCTCCTCCACCCCTCATGTTCCTCCACCCTCACGCTCCTCCACCCTCACGCTCCTCCACCCTCATGCTCCTCCACCCTCATGCTCCTCCACCCTCATGCTCCTCCACCCTCATGCTCCTCCACCCTCACGCTCCTCCACCCTCACGCTCCTCCACCCTCATGCTCCTCCACCCTCACGCTCCTCCACCCTCACGCTCCTCCACCCTCATGCTCCTCCACCCTCACGCTCCTCCACCCTCACGCTCCGTTGA